AGATTCTAATAGGATGTGGGTATAATCAGAGGAAAAGGGGGGGGGGGGGGTCTGGGATAAAAATGGGATTGATGTAAACATCAGACCTCATCAAAGCCTTTTACTGCTCTCTTCACATTCTAGGTAATCTAATTTTCACGATTGCTTTTACTTGGAAAGCTAGCCGACAGGTATCATATTCAGGTGACGTAATACTGGCTGCGAAGGTTCTCCAGTTCAGTGTAATGTTACCAGCACACAACTGGTTAAGTTTTCTTCTGCTGAAAGATAATGCTTAATGTCAGCAGTCCCATGGACACGCAATATAGAACACACAATATCTGTATTAAATACTCGCAAATATCTCTGTTGATTAGAGTGTTCGTGTTAGTTCTATTGTTCTGTTTAACGCATCAGTTGAATTCTTTACTTTTTCCATATGTATCATTTTCCGTCCAACTGTATAATTTTTCACTGCTTTGCTTATCTTCCCTGTGTTACTTGGGTTATTGCCCACAACCCAAAGGTGTTAGGAATTAGGGTGTGTATATTGTACATGGGCATGCCCTGCGATGGACTGGCACCCCATCCAGATTGTCCCCTAGCTCATGTCCTGCGATGGACTGGCATCCCAATCCAGATTGTCCCCTACCCTGTGCCCTGCGATGGACTGGCATCCCATTCAGGGTGTCCCCTGCCCTGTGCCCTGCGACGGACTGGCATCCCATCCAGATTGTCCCCTAGCCCATGCCCTGTGATGGACTGGCATCCCATTCCAGGGTGTCCCCTACCCTGTGCCCTGCGATAGACTGGCACCCCATCCAGATTGTCCCCTAGCCCATGCCCTGTGATAGACTGGCACCCCATTCCAGGGTGTCCCCTACCCTGTGCCCTGCGATAGACTGGCACCCCATCCAGATTGTCCCCTAGCCCATGCCCTGTGATAGACTGGCACCCCATCCAGATTGTCCCCTAGCCCATGCCCTGTGATAGACTGGCACCCCATCCAGATTGTCCCCTAGCCCATGCCCTGTGATAGACTGGCACCCCATCCAGATTGTCCCCTGGCCCATGCCCTGTGATGGACTGGCATCCCATTCAGGGTGTCCCCTACCCTGTGCCCTGCGATGGACTGGCATCCCATTCAGGGTGTCCCCTACCCTGTGCCCTGTGCTTCCTGGGATAGGAGCACAGGCTTTGCTGTGATCTTGGATTAACGTATGATTTACAGTGCCTGCCAGCTCCTGACCAGCTGAGACTCTATTTCCTTTCTTCTGCATTCAGATGAAGCTGATGAAGCTCCTTCAGCGTCTCCCGGCCAGTGTGGTGCGGCGGCTGCACCGTGAGCGCTACCGGAAGCCCACTTGGCTGACCCCGGTGCCCAGCAGCTACAAGCTGACAGAGCAAGATGTCACCGACTTTGTAGAGAGCATGATGCAGCCGGTGTTGCTGGCCATGTTCAGCAAGACGGGCAGCCTGGATGCAGCGCAGGCCCTGCAGAACCTGGCGCTGATGCGGCCTGAGCTGGTCATCCCCCCAGTGCTGGAGAAGTGAGTTTTCCATAATCCTCTGCCACAGGAGATGGCACATCAGGACCGGCTGACTCCTGTTTTGGGGTTTAAAAACATTATCACTGTGTATTATTAAAAACTAAGTGTTGAGGGACCCTCCCAGTGTCACATGGGACACATTAGCCCCCAGGGGGCTTGGACAGCTGCTCTGACTGTCAAGCAGCCGTCCACTGGGCCTCTGCAGGGCTGTGGGTGGAATCAAGTGGATGACACTGTGGCACAAGTGTGTTACGTAATTCAACGGCGCTTATAGAGTGAAAAGGAGCAGGTGGGCATGCCGGATGTCACCCCTCGGTGTCCCGAGGAGGAAATAGCTGGAGTCAGTTGCATTTGTTAAGTCACTGCTGTGACTCATGTGACTGTTGGCTGTTTTTTTCTTTATCACAAAATAATCACAGGAATATGGGAGCCTGGTGCAAGGTGCACACGGGATTATGGATGACAGATTGAAGTGATTTAGGAATGATCAGAACTTAATGTTTTTGGTGATAAGTGAAGCAGGATTTCTGTCTGTGCTCGCTGAGGAAGTGGGCCACTGTTTGGGGAGGACTGGGTTTTGCTTCTGTTTATATTAATAATTAATGGTATTTTGACATCGGATATTGAAGATTCTTGCGGAATGGTTTTCCTCAATTTCTATATCTATCTATCTTATCTATCCTATCTAATCTATCTATTTTTGCCTAATCTGAGTACAGCTACAATTTATCCTTCAGTTGCCTTAGAAAATGTTGACGGGCTAAATCTTATAGCACTATGGTGGAGGACATTTCAGCTCAAATGCAGTGAAATGAATGCCACTTACGGACGGCCTTTCAAAACGGATGATATTCAGAGTGTCGTGACTTCCTGCCTGTGCTGTAGGCCAATCCCGGGGCAGTAACACTCTGCAGGTTACTCCATACATGCTGATTAAGCAAGTTCATGACAGAAATGGTTTCAGTTTTGTTTGCCATTTTGTGTGAAGAGTATAGCTGATTCCTTAGTTGTCATGAAAGCCTGACTGCATGGCAGGGTAGGTTTAAAGCAGGAGAATGGAGTCTTGTTGTGTAGCTTGCAGAGCTTAGAGTTTCACCTCGGTATGCAGCTCATTATTTTACTGGAGGAGTACAGAGATGGCTTAGGGATTTAATCCAGCAACCCTCATATTACAAGTCACTATGCCACTCACTGGTAAAATTACTGAAAGTATTGAAACCCCACTGCGGCCTGTTTCCCCATGTAGGACATACCCCGCTCTGGAGACACTCACTGAGCCGCACCAACTGACAGCTACGCTTAGCTGCATGATCGGCGTGGCTCGCAGCCTGGTCACTGGGGGGCCCCGCTACCCCGAGGGTCCCACACACATGCTACCCCTTCTCATGAGGGCCCTGCCAGGCGTTGACCCCAACGACTTCAGCAAGTGCATGGTGGGTAGCCTCCTGATGATAATACCACGTGTTTATCCGTCTCACTTGACTTTACCAGATGGGTCAGGTCTGCCATCTTCTAACACATAAGCCTTATGCCTCCTCTCTGCTCTGCAGATCACATTCCAGTTCATCGCAACCTTCTCTACTCTCGTGCCTTTGGTTGACTGTTCGTCCGCCATTCATGAAAGAAACGACCTGACAGAAGTGAGTTTCTTGCATCTTGCTGCTGGTTTGGTTTCTTTCAGCTTCTCTGTGATTCTCGCTTCCTACGTTCCATAATGTTTTTTTCCTCTCCTGTGCCTCTTTTTCTTTCTCCCTTTATTCTCTGGTCCTCAGGTTGAGCGGGAGCTATGCTCCGCCTCGGCAGAGTTTGAAGACTTTGTTCTTCAGTTTATGGACAGGTATTCAGATGCTCCATGTCAGTTGCCACTATTAGTATGGATGGAATTGGAATGTGTGCAGATGAGTTGATGTCTGCGTGCATTAAAAAAAAAAAAAACGGCCATATGCGCAGGTGCTTTGCGCTGATTGACAGCAGCACGCTGGAACAGACCCGTGAGGAAATGGAGACAGAGAAGATGACCCACCTGGAGAGTCTGGTGGAGCTTGGTCTGTCTTCCACCTTCAGCACCATCCTCACGCAGTGCTCCATGGAGATCTTTCAGGTTGGTTACTCGCTCTGACGGGGCTCCCTGAACCTCCTTGGGACTGGATGTCACAGCCATCCCACATGCACAGCTGACGCGACTGAGTATGCATCGTCCTCTGACCTCTGATCTTAAAGACACAGTCAGATATGGCTGCTCTATGCACCCACATATGCAAATGAATGGAAACTGATGTGCAAGAAGGGAATCCCGAATATGCATTTGCACATTTGCATTCTGTCTTGAGGGAGCTTAACTCCCTGGGGACGAGGACATCGTCGGCGATGCTGCGTATCTTTCTTGTGTATTTCAGTTCATAACTCGCTGAAATCTTATTGTAGAAACATGAAAAAAATGCTGACTAAATCCATAATCTGTCGTCTTTTCAAAACGTGCATTGTCTGAAGTATTAAAGTTTTTAAAATTTGGTTAAATATGCAAAAAAGTAAACCATGTCACCTTACTTTGTTTTACCTGCATCGGGGGCGTGTAGTACCGCCCTCACCTGAAGATCGCTATTCACTTTCTAAATAGCGGCATTACCGCATATTCAAATCACATTCACATGGTAATTTGATGAACAACTCAACAGTGAAACGCGATCCAGATACATCCCCATCAGCGCCATAAAAGGGGGGGGATGTGGCCAGGTGTGAATGGCTCATGCATACACATGAGAGCTCCTACATATTCAATGGAAGGAGACCAGAAATAGTGACATGAGTTTTTCTTATTTATTTATCCAACTGAATGTTGCAACTACACAATTTAGTCATCTTCATGTACCCAAGACTTTGGTGATCAGATATCTTGGATCAAAACAAACTGCCACCATTGCTTACTATGTACTTTTTATAATGTTTCTGCAAGTGTTCCAAACCGCATTTTGCAATGTCTATACTTTGTTGTCAAATTACAAACTCAAAATAAATCTGACATATTTACAAAGGACATTAAAATTAAGATGAGTGTAATTCCAAATCAAATATATAACAAATAATTCATTTGCCTTCAATTAAGTTTATGATATTGAATGAAATGTGTGACCATGCCCCAGTCAGTGAAAGTGTGTTCCCTACCCCAAGACCCCAGAGGGTTAAATGCAGTTAATGGTTCCTAATCCCAACCCAAACTCAAGAAACAGATGAAAATTCAATCTGAGATGACAACCACAGTTTTTAGCTCACCTGCTATTTCTTTTGTGTGAATGCTCCCCTGTCAGGTTTCTTTGGATATTTCTCTGGATATCTCTCAATTCCAAGAATTCAATGAACGGTTCGGGTGTAAAGGGATATTGGGATGTACAAGCACAGTGACCTGCCAAGGCCAGGCAGGTTTACACATAAAGAGAGCAGGGAAATCCAACAGCTTCAGGTTCTGGGTTTGTCATTACCAGCCCCGCAAGGCCCACAGGTAGTTCTCTGAGCCCCGCTGCCCTACATACCTAACAATAACCTGTGGTGGACATTTTAGAGAATGAGGGATGGTCTTCAGGGCCATCGTGTGCTGAAGGGCCTACATGTCCCATCACACCGGTTTCCTTAGAGTGTGGAGTGGGGCTGGGACCTCTGGCCATCTTGGGACAGAGGTCATGTGACTGGAGTATTTGTGATGCTCCTCCAGCTCAGCAGCACATTCAAACCAATGGGAGTTTCTCGATATCAAGAACACAAAGAACGTATTTGTGATCTTGGCAGGAGCGATCATGCTAACTTGCCTACCAAGAACGATTCATGGAATCGTTCTCACTGGCGAGGATGCAACTGGTGCATCCTTGATATTAGGATCTGGGCAAGAACGACATCCGGGTTTTTTTACTGTCCTCTGTACTTCTATTCTTGAATATTGGAAATGTAATTTGGCAATTGAAGATGACATCAAACGGGTACACAGGAACACAAGTATGGTGAAGCATACGTATTTAGAAACACTCACCTTTCCCCCAGTGTGTAAACATTGTGTAATAATCTATGCAGGCTTTTACCAGCCATTGGTCTTACGTGTCCCTTCAGGTAGCCCTGGAGAAGGTTTTCAACTTCGCCACGACAAACATCTTCGAGACGCGGGTAGCAGGCCGGATGGTGGCTGACATGTGCCGAGCTGCAGCCAAGGTGCGTTGCCGTTCCTGGCCTCACCGTCCTCGCTGGCTTCACCCTGCACCATTTACCCACCCTGCCTTTCTCTTCTAGTGTCACCCAGCAGAATCTCTGAAACGTTTTGTGCCGCACTGTTGCAACGCCATAACCCAGATCACAGCCAGTAAGTGTCCGGCTCCTTCCTTCTCTCTGTCTGTCTGCGTCTGCGTGGGTGTGTGGGTACTTATCTCAGTTCTGTCGTCCTCCACAGATGAGGAGGTCCTCGGGGAGGAGGAGCTTGACAAGGAGCTGCTTTGGAACCTCCAGCTTCTCTCAGAGGTGAGGTCATAGGTCAAAAGGAGGGCTTTATTCCCCTTGATGCTCCAGTGTCTTTTTACAGTCCAAAGTGTTTACTGGCTGATAGTATAACCTGATTTTATTTAATTGACAGATTTCCTTGTTATGTATTTATTGTGTCATGTATGATTTGGTTAATTATTTGCACCTTTTGACACAATTATACACAATAATAATAATACACAATTATATTTAGTATTTAATATGTTATACAGCAATATATTCATCATACTGTAAAGTTTTTTTTTTTTTTTTTTTTAATATCCCTCAAAAAAGAAATTGGTTCTACAGTTCAACATCTTTGCCACCTCTCACGTCTCCGCCTCTTCCACCCCCATCTCTTCCTTCAGGTGACCCGCGTGGATGGCGACAAGCTGTTGCCCTACTGCTCACAGCTGGTACAGATTCTGCAACTTACGTTACACCTCAAGAGCAAGCAGGGCTACAGCCTGGCCTGCAACCTGCTACACCACATGCTGCGCTCAACTGCCCTTATCTACCCTACGGAGTACTGCAGCATCCCGGGGGGGTTCCACTGGCCCCTCCAGGACTACCTGCCCATCAAGGTAGCACCCAACAGCATGTAGCCTGTTTACCAGGCAAACCCTGTTCACCTGCTCTGTATGCTAATACAGGCTCACGAGCCTGATGAATTTGTATAATTGCCAGACTTTTTGGGAACTCTGCCATAATGCACGTGTTCAACGATGCTCTCAACTGGCTTTAAAATTGCCCCTCTCCATGGAGGCATGAGGTTGAATACAAAATCATAGAAACCCAATGCTAAGGTTAGCTGGCAGAGTATGGAAATTCTGTAAGACAAAGGAGGCATTATTCTTTGGCAAATCATATTGCCCATATTGAGCTCTCTGGCTGTCGCTGTCGGGTGGGGAAGGTCTGTTCAGGAAAGAGGCAAAACTCCTCTTGGTCTTAGACCAGTTACAAAACAGGTTGTCCATTTTGTAGGTGCTAATTGGATCAGTGTCAGTAAGCTAACTCCAATCCTATTAGACCTCTTCCCTGCAGGGGGGGTTCAGCTTGGATGGCCAGGACTGTCACACTGTTAGACGATCTGTGCCCTGAACAAGCTGCCATCCCCACCCTGAGTTTATCTAGACAGGGATAATAATTAAACCTGAGAGGCCTGTACTCACCCCGACTGTGGAATAGGGTGGCGCTTTTTGTAATCATCATCTTTGCACCCCATAATACATAGTAATATAGGCATCAGGTTGAAGTAACATCAACAACTGATGTATATCACATTGTCAGCTAGCATATGCTTTTGAAAGACCCCATATGCAGGCTGATGCTCTAATTATCATGTGCGCTACTTGGCAAAGGATCGCAGAACTCATGTGATACTGTGATGGTGCATTGACTGAACAAGCCGAGTTTTAGGCCTCACAGAGTCCGACGTGTTCCTCTCCACCCCTTCTCGGGTGAGCTGAGTGCCGTCCCGATTCAGCTCTGAAATGTCAGCTCTGAGGCCGCTTGACCCAGTTCACCTGCCAAGTGCCACGCGGAGAGGAAATGTGTTATTTTTAAAGCCTCGCTGTGATGGGATGTGGAACCAAATCCGTTCAAGCTCTGAATTATTATTGCACCTGTGGGTCCTTTTCTTAATAAAACAAAACACTGTCAAGGTCCAGATGTTTTTGTTACTATGTTTTGTGAATGTTTGTTTTAAACTGCTGTAATTCCAGACACCTGATCTTTGGCCTTCAGCCATACCCCTGAATATCTGTGAATGCTTGATTTATGAGTTTCTCAGGGGTTCCTTGTGGGTCGTAGTGGCACCGATTTAACGTTTTTGGCCCGTTTTGGCCCGTTTTTGCTCCACAGGACTGGGGGCGACCTGGGGACCTGTTCGACCTGCAGATCCAGTGGCATGTGCCCAGCCCCGAGGAGGCTGCATTTGTCTTCGACGTCCTCGACCTGCTTCTCCGGCCTGAGCTACAGCGCCTGCAGAAATACGCCCAGGGGGAGCAGGGCATGAACAGGTGTGGTCCTAGGGGTGGTGAAGCTGGGGGGGCAGTGGAATCAGGTCGAAGATGGCGAGAATGCAAGTTTGTGATGCACAGGTTGCCTAAGCAGACTGGGATGTAGATCAGAAATACTAGTTGGAAAGCAGAAGTCTTTTTGATGCTGAAAGTGTCTGGTGTTGACACCAGTGCTTTTATACAATGCGCCACCTTACCCCATCCTGTTACAGGGATGACGTCCTGCAGAGCCTTTCCATCGTGCATCACTGCCTGCTGGGAGCTGGGAACTTGCTTCCACCCCTGGACGGGGAGCCCGTGCCCGGCCTGTGAGTGTCGCTCAAGCTGTCTGTCTCATGAATGGATTATACACCCTACTGACCCATTTCAGAATAGCTACCTGTCACACTTAGCTACATGCTAACTATAAGCTGACTACATACAGTAGATTGTTTCACATCTCTATTTACTATATACAGAACTACCGTTTGCATACTTGGCATGTGTCCACAAAACTATATTAAAATACTTTAACACTAAAAGCTTGTTTTAGTCTTCCTGCTGTGACATGCGCATAGCTATATTTGAAATATAATTATTGCATCTCATAAATTTCACCCCCACAGTCTCCTTTTACTCCATTTCTCAAGTTTTGTGAGGTCGTGTCCTCTCTTTGGTCTAGGGTGGAGAGCCTGGTGAGCCTAGAAGAGACCACACTTCACACCGGTGTGGAATATGGTGAGTCAGACACCAGCGCCAAAGAGTGATGGTAGTGGTGTGTTGTTCGTCAGCTCCACCTGCTGGCAGGAGTGTGTGAGACATGCTAGTGCATTGATTTTTAGATACATGTCATTTATGGATGCATCTGTTGGGTCCCACTAAATTCATGAGATGTGGTGAACCTGTTCGAACTAAACACAGCACCTGCTCCTTGACAGAAATCCCAGCAGGCTCCTGTCTAGCATGCAAAGAAGCTAACTTGAAAGAAGCCTTGGAAAGAAAAGCTTTCACTAAGGGCTTATAAAAGGTTAAATGGAAGAGAAGGTCATTCATATCTTCAGAGAAAGTAGATTGAAAGGAATGTGTTAATATGAAGAGACAGCCTTCTCTGTTTAATTGGGTTTATTTCAAAGGATGCCATTATTAGTGTGGATGACACATTCACATTCTCAGCTTTAATTTTCTCAGTGCCAACATTACAAACAAATGGTTCAAATAAGTAGTTTTCTCCCTTTCAGTGGGCGAGGGGGTGCCATAGACTGTCAGTGGGGTGGGTTATTCTGGAGGAGGGTGTGAAAGCATGGGAGAAAATTATTGAAGAAAAGGAAGAGGATGAGTGTCAGTAATGGGACAGAATGCAGCAGGGAGGGGGGAGGAGGGCAGACGTGCAGAGAGAGACGAACATGGCCGGATTGGCCTGCTGCGTTACGAACTCTTCAGAAACACACACTAATGTTGTAATGGCTTCTTGTCCCCCTCTCAGACCTCATCAGGGAGAGGTACCGCGAGGCTATCTGCAAGGTGATGAGGGAGCTTCTCCGTGAGTACCCCCTGCTCCGGCACACCAAGGATGTACACGTTGAACATATACGAGCTATGAATGAAGGGCATGATGCCCACCCCCCAAGCACAACACAGCTGGCACTGACACACATGGTTAAAGATGGAATTTTGTAATTTTGTAATCATGGACTGACCTGTCCCTATTGTACAGAAGTGACACAAAGTCACTTCTGTACAATAGGGGCAGGTCAGTCCATGATGTTTCAGCTGCCGTTTTCATAAAGTATTTTTCTAAACCAAAATTCTTATAAGTTTAATAGCTTCGTATAGGAACTGGTTTGTGTCTATGAAGACATCTTGTGACCTTTGTCCCTGCAGGCTACATCCTGGAGCACTCAGAAGATGACACCAAATCACTTTTTTCTATCATTAAGGTGCGTCTTAGAGATGGTCACGGCCCGTATGAAGCGATCATTAGAAGACATGCGCGTAAATAGCCAGAGATGTAAGTGCCACTGGGCGTAGCTTCCTGCGTTGGGTTGATCCTGCTTTCCACCTCTTTCTGCAGATCATCGGTGACCTGCTCTACTTCAAAGGTTCCCACAAGCAGGAGTTCGACTCCCGATGGAAGAGTTTCAACCTCGTGAAAAAGTCGATGGAGAACAGGGTGAGGGTTTCCACTCCGAAGTACTTCCTGTCGGGAAGTCCTGTCGTTATGCCGTAACCAAGGTGACAGGCTGACGTCTGTGGCTCATTTGGTGGTTAGTGGGCGGTAGTCTGCATCAAAATGCTCCGATCGTGCTTAATTCCCCCTCCGTCTGGTCTCCCCTCAGCTCCATGGCAGGAAGCAGCATATCCGGGCCCTGCTGATCGATAGGGTGATGCTGCACCATGAGGTGGGTACTGCTTGTCCTCCCTGCAGAGAGAGAGAGAGAGAGAGTGTGTGTGTGTGTTTATGTGTTTATGTGTGTGCGTGTGTGCGTGCGCGCATCCAACAGCAGCCTTACCAGCATCAGAATCCTTTATTCATCGTGAAGTGCTGTTACATACTATGAATTTACCATGGGTCATCTTGCAAAACAGTCAAGGCAAATGATACAATAAATTATATACACAAATAATTATGTGTCATTGTTAGATTCTTTGGAACTACTTATAGTCAAAATTATTTGTATAGCACGTTTTCATACACAAAAGTTGAGTGCTTTACAGAAAATGAGATCAAGTGGATATAGTAAAAGTAGACGTAAGTAAAAGCACAGGAATAAATATGAAAATTAAAAATTATAATTAAAAGAACATAACATGAGTTAAAGAACAGATATTAATAGTGACATTAATGTAATAATCTCAAGGAATAATTTTGACGGCGTGTGTGTTTGTCAATGCAGCTTCGCAAGCTGACGGTGGAAGGCTGTTTGTTCAGGAGCGTCCACCGGGACCTGCTGAGAGACCTCCTTCGCCTGTCCACCAGCACCTACAGCCAGGTGAGCCGCCGTCCCGCCCGCCCCTGTCAGAACCCGCACCACATTCGCCCCTGCCAGAACCCGCACCACAGCCGCCCCTGCCAGAACCCGCACCACAGCCGCCCCTGCCAGAACCCGCACCACATTCGCCCCTGCCAGAACCCGCACCACATTCGCCCCTGCCAGAACCCGCACCACACTCGCCCCTGCCAGAACCCGCACCACAGCCGCCCCTGCCAGAACCCGCACCACAGCCGCCCCTGCCAGAACCCGCACCACATTAGAACCCGCACCACAGCCGCCCGTGCCAGAACCCGCACCACAGCCGCCCCTGCCAGAACCCGCACCACAGCCGCCCCTGCCAGAACCCGCACCACATTCGCCCGTGATCTACCGCCGGTGTCGCACAGGTGCGGAGCAAAGCCCAGAGTGTGCTCTTCACCGCGCTGGGGACTTACAACTTCTGCTGCCGGGACCTGATCCCCCACGTGTTGGAGTTCCTGGAGCCCGGCCGCAGTGATGTCACACAGCAGCAGTTTAAAGTACGGTCTGCCTCCTCCCTTGCTGCCTATTTTCCAGTGGTTCTCCAAAATAGTGCCTCGGGCTTATCGCAGATCCATGAGGCTGTGCGATAGAGGCTCACTGCACTCTTAAGTCTAGACTTCAGTCCCTTTGACACTGGGCATCATAGAGTTCTTGTCTCTCAGTTTTAGCTGTTATCCACTAGATACTTCTTGCTATGAAAAAATATGCAGGTACCATTAAACACAAGCTCAGGCTTTTTTTCGTCATTTGTCCTAACCTTTCTTAATCTTTTCTTCATTTTCTCCCACTCCCCTATTTCAGGGTGCCTTGTACTGTCTCCTGGGCAACCACAGCGGTGTCTGTCTGGCCAACCTGCACGACTGGGACTGCATCGCGCGGACCTGGCCGGCCATAGTGAGGTCGGGCCTCAGCCACGTCATGTCGCTAGAGAAGCCGTCCATCGTGCGTCTGTTTGATGATCTCGCCGACAAGGTCCACCGGCAGTACGAGACCATCGGCCTCAGCTTCGACGTAAGGGCCCGGGAGCTCTGAGGGGCTTTGTTGTGGTAGATCGTGAGACAAACGTGTAAAGTGCCTGATCCCAATTCTTATAGTACATATACCTGACAGCATATACCAATCAAATTACCAGAGATGAACCTGTATAACATCTTTATATGAATGAGAAACTGAGTGAATATCACTAAAAAAATAAATAATAATAAGTCTTAAACATAGTTTGTCATAATATCACTGTAATTATGGAAGTTGAATCTTACAGCCCGAAGAATTATTCCAGGCATAGAGATTCATCAAAATGTCCTCGTTCCATTAGGTTTGATGCGCATTTTTCACTTGTAGGTTCCAGAGAGCTGTTCAGCTTTGGGGCTGTCGATGCTGAAGTCTGGGAACCCCACTCCCAGTATGCCAGTCCCCACAGCCGAGGAGTTGGAAGAGGGAAGGCAGAAGCAGCAAGCAAAGAACCTCGATGCCGTTCAGTGAGTGCGCAGCTTATATGACACGTACTGAAGTGTACTCTGCTGACCTGTGATGTATTGTGGTACACACTGCACAGCTATGATGTTCTCAGCTTATACAACACTGTACTGTGCGGTACTGTGGTATATGCTGCACACCTGTGACATTATCTGCTTATATGACACTATTCTGTGATGTATTGTGGTGTACGTTGCACAGCTTTGATGTTCCCAAATCATATGATGGTACTGTAATGTACTGTGGTATACTTTGCACACTTATGATGTACTGTGGTATATTCTGCACACCTATGGCATTCTCAGGTTATATGACACTATACTTTGGTACACTTTGCACTATGGTGTTCTCAGCATGTATGACACTATAGAGCCTGTCCCCACCTTTGATTTTCTGTGGTATACTTGGCGTACCTGTGATGTACTGTGGTAAACACTGCACACCTTTGATTTGGCGTACCTGTGATATACCGTGGTAAACTCTGCACACCTTTGATTTGGCGTACCTGTGATGTACCGTGGTAAACTCTGCACACCTATGATTTGCTGTGGTATACTTGGCGTACCTGTGATGTACTGTGGTAAACTCTGCACACCTTTGATTTGGCGTACCTTTGATGTACCGTGGTATACTCTGCACACCTATGATTTGCTGTGGTATACTCGGCATACCTGTGATGTACTGTGGTATACTCTGCACACCTATGATTTGCTGTGGTATACTTGGCGTACCTGTGATGTATTGTGGTATACTCTGCACAACTGTACTTTTAATCCACAAAATAAGCAGTAGACATTTACTGCAATACTGTTTTACTTCCACTTTACCGTATCTCCCTGCTACTCTAACTATAGTCTGCTTCTCCCTCCAGGAAATATGAGAAGCTTGTTAGTGACCTGCTGGATTGTCTCAGTGACAGGAACTTGTACGTACATGCTTTATTTGCACACTTTTGTGTGAGTCTGCGTCTGCCTCTGTGTCTGTTTGCCCAAGTGTCCGTCTGCGGCTGCACATCCATGCATACGCCTGCCCCTGCGTCTGCCCACACACTGTCAAACTGAGATTCCCGTCTGCCTCCAGGCCCTGGAAGTTCGAACACATTTCCATCGGATTCCTGTCACTTCTCCTCCGGGACGATCACCCACTGCCACCCCAGGCTGTCCTCTTCTTCGTCAAGAGCCTTAACCACGACGCGCTCATCGTGCGTAAGGTGAGGGCCGCCCAACCGCAAGAGCTCCCACATGCATGCCACACATGCGCCAAAGCGTCGCTTCCTAAATGCACTTCCTCTGTACCCCACCAGATGGCAATCTCCTCCGTAGCCGGGATCTTAAAACAGCTGAAGAGGCCCCACAAGAAAGTGCCTGTCAACCCATATGAGCTCAGTGAGTACACATTATGAAGACAGGATATTTATCATTGGCAGAGTAATGTCGAGCAATATAACCATGGTGGCTGTAATGCTTAATCTACCCCTTTCCCCTTCCTTTGCTGTGGCAGGCGGATTTATGGACTCTGGGGAGGTGGCCGCTGGGGACAGGCCCAATAACCAGTGGCTGCAGTATGACAGCAGCTGTCTGCCACGTACTCAGCAGGCCTGGGAGCGCTGCCACTTTGTGGAGAAGACTCACTGGGGCTACTACAGCTGGCCACGGTATTGACCGCCTCACCGCTGGCCAGCAGAGGGAGCTCTCGGCACCCCCTGCCTAGCTGGCCCTCTGATCTCACTGGCTGTCCGACTCTGTGTCTGCAGGAAGCTGATGGTCTATGCCCCCTTGGAAGAGCAGCCCAAGCAGGGTTTGAGGAGGGAGGAGATGACCGAGGTGAGAAAAGTATATACACACGCATTGGGGGACTTTTGCTACTGACAGTAAACAAAATCAACGTCTATGTGTAAAGAAAGATGCATATTGATTACATTTTTGTGTGGCATTGCCCTAGTAACACATTTTGGGTGCTGGCAGAAGGAAAGTGTGTGATCTCTTGATACTGAGGTGTGTGTTTTGTGGCTCCCCAGATGGAACAGATCATCTACGACCATTTCTCTGATCCAGCATTTATCGACCAGCTTATCGAATTCTTGTCATTAGAAGATCGTAAGGGCAAGGACAAGTTTAGCCCACGCCGGTTCTGCCTCTTTAAGGTCAGCAATGGGGGTGTGGCAGAGGTAGCAGGGGGTGGGGTCCTGCCAAAGAGGGTTGGTACTTCACTGCAAAGCTTGTTTTCTGTGCTGTCTTTCCTGACTCTTCCCGCACCCCAGGGACTGTTCCGGAACTTCGATGACACGTTCCTGCCCCTGCTGAAGCCGCACATGGAGCGCCTGGTGGCCGACACCCATGAGAGCAAGCAACGCTGTGTGGCCGAGGTCATCGCTGGGCTCATCCGTGGCTGCAAACATTGGAGCTTCCAGAAGGTTCTCGTCTTCCTGACTTGAGTTGGGCAGCATTTCACTGATGTGGCCAGGATCACTCTTATTTACTTATGCACAGACAAACAGACAAACATATAGAAATAGAGCGGTAATGCAGTCTGTGGATCATATGTTTTTGAGAAAATGTGTAAGTGTTGTGCATTTCTCACCCTAGACGACTATTAACTGCTACTTTTTGTTAATTTTTAAGCCTTTTTTAAATCAAAAGTGATCCTTTCAGAAGTTGAGCAGCTAGTGTCTTCATACAGACACGCACCTCTTAAAAGTTACTACCGAACACCTGTCATACCTCATTCTGTATTGCATTGTACACTGACCCTTCACTTTGGACTTTTGGTATTGAATTCTGGGATAGGTTGAGTCTCTCTGGATGCTGCTGTGTCCCCTGCTGCGCACAGCACTGTCCAACATCACCGTGGAAACCTACACGGACTGGGGCACCTGCATCGCCACGGCCTGTGTACGTAAGGGGCGACCCCACTGTCACCATCATTGGACTGTAGGCCTTTGGCTTGTTATTTTAAGGTTTTTGCCTCTGTTTCCATATCACTCCTTTCCACCGGCCTTATCTACAGCTGGTTGATTAACATGTTTGCTCTGCTCCTATAGGAAAGCAGAGACCCCCGGAAGCTGCACTGGCTCTTCGAGATGCTCATGGAATCACCGGTCAATGGGGAGGGCGGCTCCTTCGTCGATGCCTGGTGAGATCCCTGGAACTCGGCACAGAATGAAAACCCAACAGAGTTTTAAATTACATGTTCCTCTGCTTTCCTATTGGAGCCTGGTAATTACTGTTAAATTACTAATTTTACATGATATTAAGTTAAAGAGCAAGAAGAGCACCAGAAGACAATGGAAAAGACATATTCTTAGTAGTACCATGTAATATCAGAGTTCGCTCTATGTTGATGTTTAACGGAGAGACATCTATGATGTGGTTTGGTCTACCTGCTGACTGTCTTTTGCTCTCCATCCTTCTGCAGTCGTCTGTACGTACTCCAGGGTGGTCTGGCCCAGCAGGAGTGGAGAGTTCCGGAGCTTCTCCACCGCCTGTTGCAGTACCTGGAACCCAAACTCACGCAGGTGTACAAGAACGTCCGCGAGCGCATCGGCAGGTATGACAGTGGCGTTCCTCACTGTGTGCTCTGTCCACACTCCTTATGCCGTAAACACCTGTTGTCATTAAAAGCCCTCTGGAGGTTGTCAGTAGGGCTGCACGATATACCGTGCACATGCGCAATAATCACATCGCATTTGTCGGCTCTTCTTTGCGTCACGGCAACACAGCCAACACACACTATTGGTAGATAATAGATCATTGGTAAATAAAAAGTTCTATTTAGCTATAATTCATTTAAGGTAATTTAATTTCCTTTTTTTGTTTCATAAAATATCTCAATGTTACTTGCGGAAATATTATGCTTTGAGATATGATATTATGCAGTAAATTCCCAGAAAGTGGTCTGCAGTTGTACCGTAGGCAAGTTCTGCACCAGAAGAATATGCAGCTCTATAAAGGGTTAAAAATATTACTTCAGGCTATGCATTCATTACTGCAGGAGAATTGATGTTACTTTAAGTACAGATCTGAGAGATACCAAATGTCGGCCCTTCATTTGCTTCTCCCACGTTCTCTCACGTTGTCCGTCCTCTCCTCTGTCCCTTCCGTTCCCTGCCCCTCTGCCCCCCCCCCGTACCCTCCGCCCCCTGCCCCCCTTCCTTCGGCCCCCTTGCTCCCGCCAGTGTGCTGACCTACATCTTCATGATTGACGTCAGTCTGCCTTACACGCGGCCCACGGCATCGCCCCGCATCGCCGAGTTCACAGAGCGCATGCTGTTGCGCCTGAAGCCCCTCATGGAGGGTGAGGAAGAGATCCAGAATCACGTGGTGGAGGAGAATGGACTGGTGGAGCAGGACGAGCGGACGCAGGCCATCAAGCTGCTCAAGACCGGTGAGGGATGGGGGACGGGAAGCCGAGTGTAGTGGCCAGGCCGTGACGGTCTCTAACTGTTGTTGTGTGCCGCAGTGCTAAAATGGTTGATGGCCAGCACGGGGCGCTCTTTCTCCATCGCCGTCCCTGAGCAACTACAGTTTTTACCTCTGCTCTTCAAGGTGAGCCCCCTTGTGTGTGTTTGAGTCACATGGCCAGTTTTGAGCCACTGGAATTCATCAAGCTTTGCAGTTAAATTTAAGTAATTTATTTGAGCCTCTCTGCCTTGGATGACAGATCGCACCGGTAGAGAACGACGACAGCTACGACGAGATGAAACGTGACGCCAAGACCTGCCTCTCACTGATGTCACAGGGTCTGCTGTATCCTGCGCAGATCCCCCAGGTCCTCCAAGTGCTGCTGGAGGTGAGCCCTCTCGCCCAGCAGGTGGCGCTGTCGTGTCCTGTCTGTCCCGTTTACAGTGGGAAAAGGGAAAAAAATTCATGAGCAGGCCAGTGACCTCTTATAGCTGCTGATATGGTTTGAAGAAAAAAGAGGAGAATAGATCTAAATTCTTAAATAGCTTATTTTTAATGAAACGTGTGTGTGTGTGTGTGTGTGTGTGTGTGTGTGTGTGTGTGTCCAGGTATTACCTTATGGGGACCAAATGTCCCCACAACGTGATGACAGTGTGACTAGGGGCTGTGGCTGGGGTTCGCAGACTCCGCATCGCTCCCTTTTTGCCTGTCCTGGCTTCTGTCTTGACCTTCTGTCTTGAATCTGAAGCAACTCCAGCTAACTACAGGTGTTGCCCTTGTGTGCAGATCGCGGAGAGCAGCTCCTGGCATGCGCGCTACACGGTGCTCACCTACCTGCAGATCATGGTCTTCTACAACCTCTTCACCTTCCTGGATGACGGGCAGGCTGTGCGTGATGTCCGGGGACTGGTCATCAGACTGCTGGAGGATGAACAGCTGGAGGTATACGCCAAAGGACGTTCTAATGACTGATGTATTAAATATGTCCCTTCCCTCCCTCCGTCCATCTGCCAGCTGCTTATCATGATCAGCGTGATGGGCCACTGTGTAAACTAATAATATTAAATATAAAATGTGCATTTCTCCAAAGCGACATGCAGAACTTGCATTTGCATTTAATCTGTTCATATTTGAAGAGATATACATCCATCCATTTGTCTTGAGCTGTTAAAAGTGTATTTTATTCCAGTTGGGATTTAAATGCAGTGCTCGGAGGTACCATGCAGCACTGCAATGGGCGTGACCCGGTGGCCTTTTTGGCTGAATCCATTCCTTAAGTACTGGCCTCCCCGCTGCCCCGTGTAGGAAGGCACACTGAGGGCTTGAAAGGGCTCGGTTGGGTACCTGGGTTCCCAAGCGCGCACATCAAATTTTCAGCTACAAAAAAAAAAAAGACCCTGGGGGCAGAAATTCCCAAAAATAGACCCATCCCTATTGGTTACAGTGGGCAGTGACCTCAGAGAGGCTGAGTCTGCCTACCATGGGGTGGGAGGGTGGGGTGAGTGAAGAGTCTATCATAGAGGGAAGAGGAGGAGCAGGAGTGTGTGTGTGTGTGTGCGCATAAGAAAGAGAGAGAGAGAGAGAGCAGGCCTGATTTTGCATGGAAATAGTGTGGAGAGGATGAAGTAGTCTTTGGTTGTGTGTGAGGAGATGAGATGCGCGTGTGTTAGACGGTGTGCGGACATGTCGAAGTTCTGGGTGTAGTGAAATTTCTATATGAGGTTTAGCAGAGTGGGGAAGTCAAGCTGGTGTGTGTGTGTTTATATTTGTGTGTGTCTACACACGTGTACACACACACACACACCGTCCGATGGCCTCCTTTATTAAGTGATTCAGCAGCCCCCCCCTCCACCACTACATCATGCTTTCTCTCCCTCTGCTGATCTGGCTGTTGCTAAGGCAACCATGGGATGCAGTACTGTTCCGTTGCCTTGGTGACGCAGGGATGGATGCTGAAGTTGGGGTTGAGGGGGCGGGGGCAGCAGAGAATAGGATAGTCGGATGATTCTGATGGTCTCGCACTTATTTCATTATTTAGCGGAAGCCAGAATGCTGCTAATTTCCTTTCCAGGGCTGAAGCCTCATGACTCCCAGGTGCATGTGTCAGTGAAATAGTGGCCTTTTTCAATGGGCATGTCCCAGAGCTGCTGTTTTCTCCCAGAAGCATGCAAAAGAGAGCTGCATGCAATTAGACGACAGCTGAGGTTATGTAGCAAAGGGAAGTCAGGGCCAAGAAAAATACTGATTTACTCCAGTTTGGGTTTTCCACAGACTCACAGGGCAGTTTCAGATTCTGTTGGCACCAGTCAGATTGATGGGTGTGATGCTGACACTGGTTCCCTGGCTTTATGATTTGTACAAAAACTGAAATTCACCAGCACCAAACTAAAGCCCTGCAGGTGGCCACACTGGTAACTGTGGGTCAACAGCGCTGGCAGGTGTCCTTTTCCGGGGGTGTGTGGATGAAAGGGCCGCGTCCTGTAATGGAGGAGATAACAGGAGAGAGGGGGGTGTATGAGCTGGGAAATGAGGGCAGTAGCCTGATGGTTCCCTTCCCTTATGTCTAATTTAGTTTAGTTAATGTTACTTGATTTGCAAGATAAACAAAAAGGTTCAAAGCTTGAAAAAAAAGTTTCACTGCATAAAAGGCAGGGAATATCCGCTAAAACAAGGAGGCTGAGATTAAAAGAGCTCTGTGGTTTTATAAATGAAAAAAATAGGAAGTATTATGAGGTTGAGGAATCTGGGGGGGGGGGGGAGCGGCGTTTCACTGAGCCGCTGCTGTGTCACTTGCCCGCTCAGGTGAGAGAGATGGCGGCCACCACCCTCAGCGGCTTCCTGCAGTGCAACTTCCTGTGCATGGACGGCCCCATGCAGGCACGCTTCGAGGCCTTGTGTAAGACGCGGCTGCCCAAGAGGAGGAGGCGGGAGCCAGGCTCCGCGATGGACACCATCCCCTCGGCAGGTAGGGGGTGCTAGCGATGTCATCAATCGTTGCACAAACACAGCATGCTGTCGCTGGCTTCCCTGCACTCTTTCCCAATAAAGCACACACTACTTTTAACACATTGCTGTTTACACACCTTAAACATTTCCCTGTTCGCATATCCCACTCCACCCTATCGCAGCATATTCCTCAGGATTTAGATGCATAGATTTACTTGGAACGGTAGAGAAACTTTATGGAGTTCTTTCCCATGTACTTTCCTAGACCTGGTCCGTCGACATGCTGGGGTCCTCGGCCTCAGCGCCTGCATCCTCTCCAGCCCGTATGACGTTCCCACCTGGATGCCCCAGCTGCTCATGGACATGAGTGCCCACCTCAACGACACCCAGCCCATAGAGGTACAGGAGGACGGAGCAATACCACAACACACCACAAGGGTGGGGCTAGTGAGGAGACTCATAGCTGGCTGAGGTCTTAGTGGTTTGATGTTTTCGGGTGTACAGAAGTGTAACAGTGGGCGAGTCCAGTGAGCGTTTTTATTTTTTGTTTTAGCTCTTGTTGCTTCCTTTTTCTTTCTTTCTCCCAACACATCACGTTCATTCTCTTCCTCCTCCGAACTTAGATGACGGTGAAGAAAACCCTTTCAAACTTCCGGCGCACTCATCATGACAATTGGCAGGAGCACAAGCAGCAGTTCACCGATGACCAGCTCCTGGTGCTGACCGACCTGCTGGTCTCCCCCTGCTACTACGCCTAGCCCAGGTTTCCTCACAGCAGCTGACATCCAGATGTCCAGAGGTGTGGAATATCAGGGTTTGCTGTTGACTTCCTGTTTCTTTCTGATCCTAGAGCACAGAGACAGTGTCTCACCCATCCAGATTTTTTTTTTTTTTTTTAATGGAAGATGATGGAACCAATGAAGTCAGAAGATATCTTCAGTTCTTAAGGGTTCCGGGCTGTTCTGTGACTGACTGCGGACACATTTGACCCCGCTGTGTGAACAAGAGAAGCTTGATAGAACCTAGCCAAATGGGGGTGGGGGTGGGGGGTGGGGTGTGGGCGGGGTTGTTTTTGTTTATCTATTTAGCACGTGTATACATTTCTAATATACTTAATATTTAAGGTAAACCGAAGCAGGATGGATTTGCCTGCAATTTGTAATATTATTGTACAGTTTTTTTTTTTTGCATGGGTGCAGAGTGATTGGAAACCTCACCTATGGATTTCCCACATACCCCTTTTCAAAGACCTCAAAGACCCCCAGCTCCATCACGTGGCCCATTCACCCTCATCGCTCTGTCCGAGAGAACATCACCTTTAGTCAGTCCGCTGGAGTCGTTTACTTGCCACAAATGCCATCGTAGCAGTTTTATTTTTTTTTATTTTCACGCACACACACATACACATGCACTCTCATTTATTACTTCAAACGTGCACAAAGACATTTGTGTGTTTATTTTATATATATAATATGTACATATGTAGTAATGTGTGTATATTACATGTATATGGCATAAAGACACAGATGCATATTTATTTTTTGAAGTGCTTTTTATTACACAATGATATTAATGATTTAAATTTGGTTGTTGTGGGCGTGCACGTGACAAGCCTGACAGGGTATGTGTGTGCGTGAGCTTGTGTGAGCACGTGAGAGCGTGCCTGCCTCTGCTCTGCCCACCGTGTTGTGCTTCTTGCAGCACGTGACTGAAATGTTCCTCTAGGAACCGGCCTTCACGTAGACTCCTGCTCCTCTTCTCACCTATCCCGTCATCATCATTGTCACTTCACTGAGAGAGGAGGGGATTCCTTGTCAGATTCTTTATTTTGGGGGTGGGAGTCAGAGGGGCAGGGGGGGGGGGGGGTAATCTTCACTGCAGTTTTGAATCCAGTTCAGCTTAGCACCTCACGAAGTGTGATACTTTACAGAATCAGAACCACTATAGTGTAGTGCCAAAGCTGGGATGGTTTTTAGATGTTATGTTTACTTATATTTAATGCGCCAATAAAAGGGTTGTTTGTAACAAAGTCTGAGGCCTCTTGTAGCATCTGTTGGTGTACTGAGGTTGGGTTTCTCTCTGGGAACAGCAAACTCAGGGAAGCTTTTGCCGTATTTTGAATGTCTCTTCTTATTGTAATGTGTGACCTCAGAGTTAGCTTCATATTCTTTCTTTTAAACGTTAGGTTAATGCAAATTTTACAGATAATTCAGTTCAGCAGTGTAATACATTGAATGTCGAGCATTTCTCTATCTGTTAAGTGCTGATATAATCAACTGGTTTACAGATTTAGCCAACGAAAGTACGTCAACATAGCGCCTAATATTGGTAATTTGAGAGCTATCCAAATCTGAGGTATTAGGGACCCCCCCCCCCCCAGGTGCTGACTGGGGTATGCATTGAGCTGGGGACAGAGAGAGAGAGAGAGCGCTTTAAAACGCTCTCCTCTCCTGTTCCCATGGTGATCTGCTGCTCTTCAGCCTCTTGGTTCAGTCCGAAATTCATGACCTGAATCCCAATCTCTAAGCTGTTTCCTTGAATCAAAGTCCCTGTCTAGTGTTCATCTTTTAATGACTTCCATATGAATTAAAGCTTTTATTTCTGCACTTTTACGTGTAATTTGTTTATTCATAAGTATTGTAGTGATGACTTTGTCATCTTTTCCACATGAGATATCCTCTACTCCGTGATCTGTGATTACACTCTCCCTGCCAAAGACTGATGAAGTGCATCACCTTTACAGTCAAATCTTGGCACCATGTGCCAGTTTTGTTGAAGATCAAATTGGAGAGAAGGGGAAAGGCGGCAGTGGAGCTCTTGCACCCTTGGCAAAAAAGAACTTGGACATCTGTCCATCAGAGTGAATTATTTTGGTCAGGTTCGCTGGGGTCCTGGAGCCTAGCACAAGGCACAAAGTCATATTTTGTTTATAGACCTTTCAAGCATGGTTAATATCTTTATGCCCTTCAAGTCTGAAGACATGAGGCTTAAAATCTTAATGAAAAGAAAAACAATTGTATTTTCTACACTTGTTGCTTGAGAATATGAATAGGAAATGAGTGAATTAGAACATACAGTAGATACACATATATTTCAAGCCAAGCCCCAGGCCCCGTCCAGCTGTCATTTTTTTCCCTGTTTCCAGGGTAACCTGCTTTCCCCATTCCTTCTCATTGCTGCACTTTTCATTCTGAGAGCTAGTTTGACCAAGCACGGACCGGAATAGACAAGAGAGTGTACATAACTTGTGTTATTCCTGTCAGGTGGAGGTATAGAAAGACACTGGGAAGGAGAGAGAGGATGAGGGGGCGGGGTTACCTTCGTCTGTCCGTCAGTTTTTATCCGATCGAATTGCATCTACTGTTTGTTTCATCCTTACTTTTCCACCTAGCATACTATATTAGATAAACCCATGATATAGTCAAGGTATAGTTTTCATGCAAGCGCAGGCGATTAAAAACAGAAGAAAGCAACCATCACTGCAGCGTTAAACTCCAGAAATATGAGCTTGTTTGCTTGTGTATTGACCCGAGAGACAACCCCACCCCCTCCTCTCTGCCTCCATCTCCTGTACCCCCCACCCTCCCCCATTTCTGATTTCTACATCTTTTCTCAGGCATCCGCACACGCTTTTTCAGCTCGGCTTTTCGGGCTGTACGGATGAGGCGGAGGCTGAATCCGGGCTCAGTCTGTTACAGCAAACGGATACAGCAGCTGCCGTCCTCCGCATGAGAGACGAGGGTGGGGGGACGATAGGCGACTGAAATACATCTCTGCACGATAAAAGAAACATTTCACATTGTATGCGTCTCTGTTCTGTAAAATGGCTCATTTCGAGGTCTTAATGGTAAGTACATTTATTGCTAATGAATACTATAGTTGACTAGTCTGTTACATAAAATCTTTTATTATAATTAAATATTGTTCTCGTTTTATTATTATTTCGTACTAGCCTACTGCCAATAATAAGCATCAGAATCATAGTAATACAAATGGTTCAGATTATGTGCCGCAATAATTCTTAGCGCACGTGGTAATAATGAATTAATATTTACCACATTGTGTTACGGTAATATTCGTTTCTACTCGCGTTTAATTTAATCAGTTGGTAATGCAAACAGGACAGCAGTAAATTAGTGCGTACCGTTATCTGTTTGCTTGATTTTTTTTTTCTTTTGCACTTTCCTTCACACCACCATAACATGAACTCATAAAGACCGATTACATAACCATAGGTAGGTAGACACCCATGCGTGCACGTTATCGTCGTAAAAACGTACCTAGAATTCTCTTTGGTATTGCACATCTGGTGAACGCCAAATGGTCCTTAGTACGGCCAGTGGATTTATTTATTTTGAGAAACAGTTAAATTATGTGACTGTGATCTCAGAAATGATCATAATCCAGTCCAAACAACCTTTAAAGGTACAATTTGTGACTGTTGCCTGAAGAATCCGTTATTGGCCTGGTGGGGGAATTTGTGCCCCATCTTACCTGTGTCATCATGAGAACCCAAACACATACATCGCCCCTATGAACAACTAATTAGTGCTAATATATTAATTTGAGATTGCTTCTCATTGTGTATGGTCATGCACTCATCGGGCTGCTCTAAAAGGAAATGGTTGTAATCTCTGATACAGTGTTTGCGTTCCTGCTGTCTTCCAGACCTTCTTGCGCATACCAAACTGGTGTTTGCTGTGGACTCGAAAAAGCCAGGGCAGACCTTGGTGACCTTGGGAAGTATCAATCCAGAGCATCCATGGGAATTTCAATGTTACTCTGACACACAGAGGCCACCCTGTACGATGAACACCACCAAGCTACCCTCTGAGCTGGCGAGCATCGTGCAGCCGGAGGTGCACAACGGCAGCTTTGGCCCCGTGCCGTCCCCCAAGTGGGCCCTGATCCACACGGCCACGCTGGTGTCCTGCTCCCTCCTCCTCATCCTCATCTTCTGTCTGGGCTCCTATGGGAACCTCGTGGTGTTTCTCTCCTTTTTCGACCCGGCCTTCCGCAAGTTTCGCACCAACTTCGACTTCATGATCCTCAACCTGTCCTTTTGTGACCTGTTTGTCTGCTGTGTGACGACACCCATGTTTGCCCTGGTGCTCTTCCTGGACGCCGGGGGCGGGGCCAGTGGTGTCTCCAAGGAGTTCTGCTTTGCTTTCCACCTGACCAGCTCTGGCTTCATCATCATGTCGCTGAAGACCGTGGCGGTAATCGCCCTTCACCGGCTACGCATGGTCCTGGGCCAGCAGCCCAACCGCACAGCCTCGCTGCCCTGCACTCTGGCCCTAACCGGTCTGCTGTGGGCAGCCAGCTTCGCTTTGGCCGCGCTTGTCACCCTGCGAGCCCACCCCTGGACGTCCAGGCCCTGCCTGCCCCGACTCGGCCTGGTTGGGGGTGAGGGCCGAGCCACGCTCTGCCTGTACCTGGCTGACTTCATCTTCTGTGTGGGCATCGTCTCGCTCTCCTATGTGATGATCGCCCGGGCGCTGCGGAGGAATGCGCAGGTCCGTAAGTGCCCTGTGATCACTGTGGATGCCACCCGCCCGCCTCCCATCATTGCCACGGGCTTTGAGGGCATGCAGTGCGCCGTTCCGGTGCCCGCCCTGTACCGAAACCAGGCCTATAACAAGCTGCAGCATGTCCAGACGCACCCCTACACCCGGAGGGGCCCCCAGGCCCAAGCCGGGGCTCCTGGGAACCCCTGCTGCCAGTTGGCTTCCTCCGTCAACTTGGCCACGGCTAAGGACTCGCGGGCGGTGGCCACCTGCGTGGTGATCGTCTTCTCCCTGCTGTTCTGCTGCCTCCCCATGGCCATCTCGCTGGCACGTGACGTACTGGCGCCTGGAGGTGGTTTCGCACTCTACCAGTTCCAGCTGTGCGGCTTCACCCTCGTCTTCCTCAAGTCGGGCATCAACCCCTTTGTGTACTCACGCAACAGCGCTGGGCTGCGCCGCCGTGGGCTCTGGTGCCTTCAGTGCGTGGCGCTGGGCGTGCCCTGCTGCGGCCGTAAGACCCGGT